AAATGGAAGCCGGGACTGACCGAAGGTACAATTTCTTCGCTAAAAGGGCATTAAGTTGTTCCAGGACAAAACGCGGACCGCAGTCCCGTTCCAGGGTGAGGGGCTAAACCAGGTGGCGGATCTGGTTTGGGATGGTGTGGACGGTGTGGTCTCGGTGTGGCTGGCGTGGGGCAGGTGGGCCCCCCTGGCAGAGCGGGTGCCGCGGTCTTCCGCGGTGCGTCCTCTCGCGCACGCCTGGGCGGCCAGGGCGGGGATGGCTCACGCACCCACCGTGCGGAGGCCCCATTTCTTGCTCACGGTGCCCTGAGCTGGCGGCGGAGGTGACCACGGGAATGGACGGACAGTCACGGATCTCTGGAGTCTGCAGGCTGCTTTCCCGCTCATTTGTCCCCTAAGTCTCAAAAGAGCTTAATGTTTCATTATAGCAAAGGAATAAATCAGAGAGGATTAGCAAGTTTCCCAAGACCACACAGCCGGGACGTCTTCGAATCACATCAATGTCCGGCACCCAGGATGCCCAGGAAGGACGGGCACTGGGGAGGAGGACAGTGGGCATCCGTGCCCTGGCACTGCTCCATTTTCCTCTTTTCTGTTTGAAAAGATACTGGGGAGCCCGGGTGGCTCAGTCATTTGGGTGTCCAACTTCGGCTCAGGCCGTGCTCTCACGGCTCGGGAGTTTAAGCCCCGTGTTGGGCTGTGTCCTGACAGCTCAGAGCCTGGAACTTGCTTCGGATTCTGTGTCTCCCTGTCTCTCTGCCCCTCCCCTGCTCACACTCTGTCTCTGTCTCTGTCTCTGTCTCTGTCTCTCTCAAAAATAAATAAAACGTTAAAAAAAAGATAATATGTGTGCATGGCAAAAAGTCCAGACAATACCAAGGTCGGAGGCAACCACTGTTACCAAGGTCTTGCCTGTCTTTCCAGAGATGGTCTCCACACATGCAGACGTGTGTGTGTGTGTGTGTGTGTGTGTGTGTGTGTGTGTGTCTATGCACATGCGTGCACACGCATGAGTGACAGCATTCTTAATTTCGCTCACAAGGGCATCACTTGAAGATTGCTCTGTGCCCACAGATGTGATTGCAGTTCATTCTGCTCAACAGCTGTGTGGGTCCCAGTGTGTGCAGATAGCAGAATTCATTTCCTGCTGCGGTGGCCTGGGGGTGGCCTGTAGTAGAGGTGGCACAGGGCCGGGAGAGCTCACGCGGGGGATGGTGAGTGGGTGTTCCGGAGGCAGATGGTGAAGGGGGGGCTCCCCTCACCGGAGTCCCCAGGAGGCTGGGTGGCCTCTATCGGAGACGTGCCAGAGGCCTCTGAGTGGCTTGTCTGGATTTCTGTCTGGCTTCTGTCACACATGTTCTCTGGAGCAGCTGGTCCCCAATTTCCTGACCCTGAATGTTCTTGAAAAAACATTGCCTAAGACCAAGTGAGCACAGGACCCCAGCTGCAGCTCTGGGTCTCCGTCAGCCACATGGGATTTTCCCCTTGGGCTCCCTTTGGGGACCCCACGGGGCTCTCTGGGTCCCCAAGTCATCAGGCCAATTATGCCGTCTGCTGGTTGGAGAATCCCACGGAAACATCTCAGGATGCCTCAGAAACATGAATTTGTTATTAAAATATTTGAATCTGGGGCGCCTGGGCGGCTCAGTGGGTTGACCTCAGATCATGATCCCAGGGTCGTGGACCCTGCTTGAGACTCTCTCTCGCCCTCTGCCCCCCTCCCCTGCTTGTGCGCCCACTCCCTCTAAAGTAAAAGAAAAAAAAATTTTGCACCTGGATCACATTCAATCCCATAACGTAGCGGTGTGCTCAACGACTGTAGAATATTGTCTCGTCCGAGGAGAAGCAGGACGTCTTGAGACCGCAGAGCCCGGAATTAACAGCTTGGAATCTTCGCCCTTGCTTGGCTGCTAATTGACTTCAGCCATTAAAGGGAAGGAAATTCTGGGAAGCCCTGAGGTCCTTGAATGAGCAAAGCCGCGGCCACGTTCAGGTCCTCTGGCGGTGGGCGTCCGGCGAACCCATCCTTTCGGGAAGATGGGTTTTTCAATCAGAAGGTTTGCAAAAGCTTCTGTGCTTCCCGAGCGTAGTGTCCGTGAATGGCTGCACCTCACGACGGACCCACTTGCGAAGGCCACGCAAACCGGCCTCCACGCCATCGAATCCCGGTTTTCTCGGGAAACACGGCGCAGCCCTGGCACCAGCCTCCAGACCTGTCCTCGAGCTGCCCTTTCCTCGGTGCTGCGGGCGTCGGGCCCCAGGCTGGAGGCAGAATCGCCTTGGCGGGATCACCTCGGGATCGTCGGGCCGCGGAGGCCGCGGGGTCAGGGCCACCCCCGGATGCTGCCAGCTCCACACGCACAGGTCACGTGTCCAGGTCACGCCCTCCCCCTCCCCTTTCCCACGTCCTGCGCGGTACGTCCACGGGGCCCACAGGGTCCCCCGCCCGCGGCTCAGGTCAGAGGCGGCAGCTGTGTGGACCAGAGGCCACGAGCAGGCAGCAGGGCTGTGGCTCCAACTCCCCACCTGCCCGAGTCAGCCCTGAATAATCCCTTCGGGTGCTCACACCCGTCGAAAAACGGTCTTCTTTTTTCTACTGTCCCCCAAATGCCTTGTTTTGCAGAAAACGCACCTCAGGCTTCCATCCATAGCTCACTGGGAAGCAGCCCCCGCCCTGGTCGGTGCATCTGTTCTGTAAGGACAGTCCATTGGTCTGGCCCGAAACCGTGAGCCCAGGCAGGGTGGCTGCGGCACCTGGGGCCGAGGGACCCTCCCCGGGCTTGGCCGCCACGGCCTCCCGCGGTGCCTCGGGAGGCACCTCCCGGGCTGGCCCATCGGGCAGGGGCACCGCGGGCGCTCAGAGCTCAGGCCCGAGGGGGACGAGGGCCCCCCAGGGGCAGGAAGCGGGGTTCTCCCCCTGCGAGGAGGTGGACGGTCTCAGTCTCACCTAAGCGAAGGGGACTCACGGCAGGAACGCCGGGAGCTTGCCCAGCCGACAGGAACCCAGTTTGGAAACTGGCAGAGAGCAAGGTGATGTCCCAGGCGAGATTCAGAGGCGCCCCTAGCTCGCTCGTCTGCTGCCAGAGAGTCACGTTCCCACGAGGGGGCCGCAGGCCACCCCCCAGCCTTGCCTAGACACTTGTCACCTGGGAGGTCGGCCTGGGGGAGAGGTGATGCCCCAGAGGCAGTCGGGGTGCGGGCGGGCAGGGAAACGCGTTCCAGTCGGCCAAAGCGCTAACGGCCCGTCTCTGCTATCTTGCTCCTGGGGCCCAGCTCTGCTCAAGCACCCTGGCGGTGCCCTGGCCCCCAGTGTCCCGTGCACACGCCTGTGGGTGAAGGAGGGGAGGACCCGGAGACTCCCTTTCCTCAGCGGACGCCTGATTCACGGTGTGCAGGTCCTTGTGGCCCCCGTGGCCCCCGCTGCTTCCGGGCCCACCCTCTGGGGTCTGGGGGCCTGGGGCCTGGCTCTGCAGTTCTCGGGAGTCCTGGCTCCTCCCAGCCAGGCGGGGGCACCCAGCATGTGGCCGCCACGCTCCCGCACCTTCCCCGTCCTGTCCTCAGAGCAGAGAAACCACTGTCAGGGCTCTGTGCCTGGGACACTCACTCACGTCGCTTTTCCATCCCGAGACGGTCCACCTACCTGTCACCCAGCAAGGGAGTGGGGTTCTGTTCTCCGTGACGGGTGCTGCCTTTGGAAGGTCCTGCCATTAACTTCCCAACAACAGTGGTCATCACGACGCGGGCCGAGCTAACGAGTCCGCTCTCTTCTTGTCAGCGCTGGAGGGGACGCCAGGGAGGATGAGGCCGCCCGTGTGCCCGCACACTCCCGCCAGGCTCTGGGCCGTGCCCACCAGCACCCGGCTCCTCCGAGGCTCTCCGTCCCGGGCTCCCAGGAAGGCTGGGGGAAGCAGACCCCTCCTGGAAGGCAGGGCGGTGGCTCAGGACCCCCGCTCTGCAGCCCCCCAGCCGCCTAGGTTTGGACCGCCCCCTGCCCCTGGGCCAGTTGGCTACCCTGGGGCGGATGGCTTCACCTCTCTGGGCGTTTCCTCATCTACAAAACAGGAGCCCTGACTGTGCCTGCCACATGTGGATCGACAATGTTGAAGGACACAGAACGTGCTTGGCAAACGGTACGGGTGCAGTAAAGGCAACTATCTGGGACACGGAGGCTGCCGTTTCTGAAAAGTGTGCAGGTTTCAATTTCACATTTCTGGAGGGTGGGAAGGAGAACAAGGGAAATGTTCTTACCTCTGGCTTGTCCACGGCGGTGCTGGCTTCTGGAGCAAAAGGGCCAACTTGGGACCACAGGCCCCAGTTCTCCTGCGACCCGGACCCCCATCCTCCCTGCGGCCGGCAGCCCTGCCTCTCCCCCGCGCAGGTCTTCCTTGCCGGCGCGTGGGAACCGCCTGGGTAGCTTTCAGAACCAGAACCGAATGTCTGGGCCCAACCCCCAGAGATCCTGGCTTAGCTGATTTGGATGTGACCGGAACACCGGGACTTGTACACATTCCCGGGGATTCTGAAACCCACCACGGCCGAGAACCCCTCTCTGAGGCTGGTGGGACGTGGGGAGGCGGGAAGCCAGGCCTCTCGGGGTGGGGGGGCCTGCACGGAGGGGAGATTCCTGCATTGCCGCCAACCCAGTACATTCTGTGGGGCGCAGTGTCTCCTCCGGGCTCTGTGGAGTCTGGCGGGGTGGGGGGGGGGCTGGGGCTGAGGAAGGCCACTGTTCACAGGATACGTGGCTACGTGGTGCCCCTGACGTGTCTCTCCCCGGGAGCGCTTAAATCCCTGTGACGTCTGCATCTCGACAGGCGTGGGGCCTGGGACGGCTGTGCGTGTGGTTCAGGACCACACTGGGGCTGAGCCTCAGAACCTAGTCTTTACAGGCCTAGAATTCAGGAGGCATTTCGTCAATACTTGAAGAAAATCACGAGCACATAAGGAACAAAATGATGTTTTTATTAAAAATCGTACCCATAGCACCTCTCTGTCATCCTACATTTTTTTTTTTTTTTTCCAAATGAGATCTGGGATTCTGCACAACTCCAGAAAACATTGCCGGGAAAACTTCAGGACTGACCTAAGCTCTCGATAAACCGGAAGACGACGCTGAGAGGAATGGAGAAGAGCCTCAGCAGACTAGCTCGGGTCACGGGTTGCTGCGGTGTTCCCGCCTTCCGGACCGGATCCAGGCTACTGGGATGCCGAGTTCAAGAGAGCCAGATTTGGATACGCGGGTGGATTGCTCATTGGGAGAACGACTATACCGTGTGCCGAGAATTCGTAAAAACTAGAGACCATGCTATGATCCGTTACGCAAACACCATGCTTCAGCCCAGTCGTGGTCAAATACAAGCACAGCATCAAAAGAAGTTTACAGCGTGCGCGCGACCCTTCCTCCCCGCGACCTGGACGGATTCCCTGGCCGAGGGCCTCCGCCGTCGCTCGCGGCGCGGGGGACGCGCCCCCACGTTGCCCTACGTCACACCGTCCTCTGCTACGACGCTGAATCGAGTACGCCTTACAAGCACGGCGGTGAGTGAAACGGAAGGCAAGGCTGGGGCAGGACAGGGTTCGCTCTGGGCCAATTTATTCAGGAAGGGGTGCGTGAGGCCTTGCTGATGTGCTTAATGCCCGTTGGGTGCGGGGACCGCCCGCAGCCACCCCCGCCGCTCGCCTGCCTGGAAACCCGTGCCCTGGTGCCCGAGCGGAGAGGGCCAGCCCGTCCCGTCCCTCCAGCTCTGACAGAGCCCGGCCCCGCCTGGCCGCTTTGCTGGCTCACCCTCACACGGGAAGGTCAGCTCATCGCCCAACGACCTGCCCGGTGAGCGATGAGGGAGTGCACGGGGGGGGGGGGGGGCTCGGCCACTGCTCACCGTAAGGCACCCGAATGACGTCACTACAGAAGAAGGCGAGATGAGGACATTTCGTCTGGTCGTGGCTGGAGAAACGTTGCTCGTTCTGTTCTTGGACGGAGATTAAAATCCAATCAATACCTATTCTCCTATGGTGTGGTGTCTGTTTTTCTCCTTACAAGGTGAGAGGCTGGGGACTGATGCTCGTGGATGCCCACACTGCCTGGGGAGGCTGAAACCCAACTGCGGACGCCCAGTCTGTTGCTTTGGTGCAGGTGTCTCTCATGGGCCAGGGCCCCCGAGGGACAGGGCGGGGGGCGGGGGGGGGGGGCAGGTGCTAACAGTCCGTCAGCAGCCACGGTGCCAGCAGAGCCTCAGACAGACGATCCCATACACAAAAAGTTCAGTCAAAGCAGAGAAAGAGAAAGTACAGGAAATATAATGAACCTGAAAAGAAGCTTCATGTTGTCGCAAAAACCCCAAAGCAAAGAACACACCTCCAACCAAAGGGTCCTCATTCTGAGACGTGACAACACTTTCCCCCATATTTTAAAGCGAAGTCCGTATGGCTTAGAGCTCGAAGTGCACAGAAGGCAGTTTGTCCGTGTTCTCCACCAGGCATCTGTCTTCCAAGAAGTTCAGCTTGCAGCCTGTCGCCTCGCGCGGGTTCCTGCCCCCTCGCCGGCCGTCCTGGGGCCGAGAGGACGGAGCCGGGCTTGGGGCCCCGAGGTGCGTCCTGTCCGGTGAACTGTTGGGGGTGATTCTCACGCACAAGTGGCTTTGGGCAGAGCATCTAGGATTTTTGGTTTAGAATATTTCTGCCTCCGCTCAGAAAAAGAAGGCAGGAAGGAGAGAAGGAAGGGAGGGAAGGAAAAGGAGAGGAGAGGAGAGGAGAGAGAGAGGAACCTTTCCACACCGTCAACTGTTGGAAAAACTGAAAAGGGGCTTTTCACCCAACACAAAACTCTCCTTAGCCTCCGGGGGCCACAGGCGGCCGCTGGGAAAGCAGAGGGCCCGACGGAAGTGTAGACGGACTAGAGCCGAGGAGATACCACACGCTCTATATGGGGCCACAGGACCGGCTCCCCTACCGTCAGGGCACTGGCAGGTCACAGGTCACCCCTGCTCCTTGGGGGTGTCGACAGGGTGGCTGCGCATTGTCACGGCCACCCTCCTGCTAGCGAGGTGGGGACGCGGGGCCCTCCAGGAGCTCTGGGCGCCCGCCGGTTACACCTGGACCTCGGCTCTGGCCTGGGGGGTTGGCTGCCGGCTCCTCAGTCACCTCGGCCACCTCTTGGAAGAATAATGGGATGGCTGGAGTCACAGCTACACTTCGGGCTCTCGAAATTTCAAAGTAGTTCATGCTATTCTCACGTAGCTAAAAGATGAAAACTAAAGTAGCAAAGGGGGGAAAAAATAGTTTCCAGAAAACCTGTTAAGGCTGAAAGCTGGGCTGGGCAGCGGGCGGGACAAGGAGACCGGGGGGGGGGGCCGCGTTCGCGGGAGGCCTGGCGGGGAGGAGGCAATTCGGGGCCCCACTTTCTCAGAGCTGTTTCGCTTTATTTGGAGACACCGACGCTTTCCGTCTTTCTCATGTACAAAGCTAAACAATTAATAAAAAGGCACCTGGAGACAGCAGAGACTCATTCATTTCATGTGACATAGTTTAAAAAAAGATAAAAAGATTTAAAAAATCCTCTGGTTAACAACGCACGCCTCTTACACCACAAGCAATTCTGAAAGCGCCGTCTCGCTCTCTCTGGGTTCGCGGGGTGGGCCGTGTGCTGTTCACGGGAAGGACACGCTCGAGAAGGGAGGGCCCGCGCCCACTCGCAGCCCTGGGGGTGGGTCCCTGCTCTGCGCCGTTGGCTTCAGGCAAAGTAAGGAAGAGAAAAGCCCCGGGGGGGGGGGGGGGATTTCACCACTGGAATGATGCAAGGTGCGACCGCTGAGCCGTCAGCCGGCCAGAGGACCCCCCCCTCGGAGTCTCTTGCCCCCTCGCCAGGAACCTGAAAGCCGATTCCTTGCCTACAAACTGCGGAGTGAGAATATTTCAGAGATGGATGGGGTCGGGCCGAGAAGCGCTCAGCCCCGGGGCACACACTTCGCTCCGCAGAGGCCAGGAGCGGGCGGGAGCAGGCTGGTTCTCCGGAGGCACAGGAGGTAGAGAAGAGGAAGGAGTGGCCTGGACGTGGGCGGACATCGCACTTGACCCCCGCTCCTCCTGCCCCCCTCCCCCCGCAGCCTCCCTACTTGGCGTGGGATGGAGACACCCAGGACTGGGGGGGGGGGTCTGGGGTCCCCTCGCCACCGCACCACTGAAATACACCTTCTCGTAAAAAGAAAAGAAAACAAAGAAACCCGCTTCCTGCAGCGATGTTACAAAAAGCCGTTAAAAAAACCTTTCTAATTGAAATCTAGTGTTCACAAGTAGGTAAAATCATCACTTATCAGAATTCTTGTTTGAACAAAAGCTTGAGCTCAGTTACTGGAGTTGATTGTCTTAACAAAAGGAGGCTGGAAGGTGCGCGGAGGCCCCGCCGCGGCCGTCACACGAAGGAGGAGAAGCCGGTGAGCGGAGTCCGGGCGCCGGGGCCCGCGGGCGCGAACACGGCGCTTTGTGTGGTGACCACCGTGTGCAGGTGCGGCCCCGCCTCGCCGCCCGCCACCGCCTCGTACCTGTGCGGGGCGCGCCCGCCCGGGGCTCGCCGCTTCCACGAGTTGTAGTAGGTGGGGTCGCTCATGTAGTGGTTGACGAAGGAGTGCTGGGGGGGCGTGTCCTCAGATTCGGAGTCGGTGCCCTGGGGAGACAGCCAGGCGTGAGCGGGCCTTGGGCGGCAGCAGGTGCCGGGGAGGGGGTGGGCGTGGGGGAGGGCATGAGTGCTCATGGGGGAGGGGGAGGTCAGCCACAGAGGACGGTGGGCATGGGGAGGGGACGGGGTGGCCGTGGGCGAGGGCAGGGGGTGGCCTTGGTGGGGACCCGTGGCCACGGGAGAAGGGCAGGCACAGGGGGAGGGTGGCCACGGGCAGGGGGGCTGAGCTGGAAGCAAGGGGTGGCCAGGCGGCCACACCAGTGAAAGCCACCCAAAGTGAGCTGGCTTGTGTCCACGGTGTCCCACCCTCTTCCCTTCTCCCGCCCCCCAGGCCACCCCACACTCCACCCGAGGTACGCCCCCCTCCCCCGCCCGAGCTCAGCACCTCCGCTGCCCTGAGACAGGGACCACGTGCTGTCCCAGCTGCCCGAGTCTGCGCCTGACCCCTCGGGGTGCGTGAGCCCGTCCCAGGAGGGGTCTGCACTGCACTTCTGCCCCAGGACAGGTGTACACTTCATCCTCTGACCCGGGAGAGGTCTACACAGCCTCAAGGGGGTGCTCTGTGCCCTCCCAAGGCAGAGCTCCTGGGAGGGGGTGGGGGTAAGAGTGGTCCAGGGTCCTCGGCTTGCCCAGGACTACGGTGTAGGCTGCACTAGACCGAAGGGAGCCGGCCCTGAGCACACATGGAGGTGAGGACAGGGTGACCTCTGCGGGATACAAATGTCCGTGTGATGTCACATCCGTGCAGATCTCAGAGGGGAGGCTACCGAGGACAGGGGCCCTAGGGAGCCACGACGTCTACAGCGGCCGTCGACTCCTCCCTCCCCAGGCCCTGAGACCCGACCCCTCCGGCCACACACAAGAGCCAGCCTCGTTGATGGGTGAAGGCCAGGCTGAGGGGGTTTTCTCCCCGTCTTTATAAGAAAAGTAAATCAGCAGATTCCACTGAGAACATTTAGTCCACATAGTTTCTATGTTCACGTTCTTAAAGCAAAACCCTGTTTTGTGGTTTGGGGACTGATGTCAAGTCACTGAGGTGCCATTAACAGAGACAGTGAAGACCGTTTTCCCAAGAGGGTGGAGGCTCCCACCTTCCTGCCCCAGAGGAACTTCGAGTACCCCCGGGGGGCCTGCCCCCTGCCCACAGGCTGGCCGGGTCGGCTGCTGGGCCCCACACGAGACACGCCCCCCCACCCCTCCTTTGGAAACACAGTGGGTTCCTCCCTGCACCACCGGGGACCTCGCAGAGGCCACTGACGCCTTGAAAACGCCAAATACGGGTCTACAGACATGCGGCCATCTAGCCTTTTGAGTTCAAGGCCAGGGCGGGAGCCTGCGGCTGGATAAAGCGTCTCCATTCCAAGGTGCCCTGCCTGGGCTCCGTCCCTGACACGGCCACACCCGCCCTTTTTTCTCTCTCCAGGAGGGTCTCAGGAGGCCCGGCTGGTATGAAGGTGTGGGACACCCCCAAATGCTGTCTCAGAATCAGCAGGGAAGTTTGGGGAGAGCACAGATTACTGGGTACGCTTCCTGACGGAGTGGGCCTGGGCTAGGGCTGGGGACTGTGTGTTTCTCAGAAGCTCTGGGAGGATTCCCATCAGTGGCCAGGCTGGAGTGAGGGCAGGACTCATTCAATGTGTCGGCTGTGTTGAGACTGAGGGAAGGCAGAGGGTCCCTTGGTGCTCTGAGTCACTGTCCCTCATCTGATGGGGAGCGAACGGCCCACGTCATGCTCCATCTGGGGACTGCGTCCTGTCAGCCGGTAAGAGCAGGTGGCACCTAGGCTGTGCAGAAGCCCCTTGTGGACATGGCGGGAGCTGGACTCCCAGGAGTTTCCAGACACCGACTCGAGAATCGGGCTCTCACTGGAACATTTACAGGAAAGTAATGGTAAGTCACAGATTTGAGACTTCTTGGGACCTGTGCCTTATGGCACAGTCAGCTGTCGGCAGCTAAACACCTCTGTGGCTCCTCTGCTTTGTACGGAGTCAGAGCTCACATAAGTGCAGGTCTGATGACTGTCCTCTCCCGACACAGCCCGAGATGCAGGGAACATTAGTTCCTCCATCACTGGGCGGTGAGGGTGACAACAGACCACAGACCTAAGAGCAGCTTCTTTTTAGGAGACGCGACTACATACAGATTAACCCCTGCGGAGTCCCTGAAACCGCATGGTTCCTTTTTGTTCCTATTTTATGGATGAAGAAAGAAGCTCAGAGAGAGACGGGCCAGTTGCCCAGCAGCCCAGGCGGGGTAGGAGCCGAGGGGGAGCCTTGCAGCCCTGGGGCCCCTGCTGGTGCGGAACCGGTTCTCTGCTCCGGGGTCTCCTTCGTGTCTGCTGACCCGACTCACAAACCCCCGCTCGTGATTCCAAAACCCTCCGTGCTCTGAAAATCAAAAGCAGTGTTTGTAGCTCACCTGGTGGCAAAGTCTGACCTACGTGGAGCTACTCTGGCAGCTATGACCCTGAGCTGAACTGACGTGCAGCTATTTAGTGTGGATATTTGCAGATTCTGCTGCAGAAATACTAACGTGCTCGTAACGTAACGTGCCCTGCCGGGGATGCTACGTAACATACGATGTATATATCCCACCCCTGAGAAACGCCGAATTCTTAAACTATCTGGCCTGGAGGGCTGCAGGTGAAGAGATACGGCACGTGTACTTCTGGTGGCTAAGGTTTATCCTTCGTCTGTTTTCCAGAGGCCTCGAGGGGCTTCTGAGGCAAAGCTCTGTGTAAACCGAGACAGGTAGGAACGACAACAAGGGTCACCTGAAGGAAGCTGGCGGGATCCGTTATCGGTCCCTGAGTTGGGTCTGTCCCTTCTGCAGACACCGTATCTTGGTTCCAAATTCCTGACTTAGGAGAAAAGAGCTCATGCTGAGCTATGTCGGGGGTGTCGTCCTCTCGGCAAAGTCACAGAACACTCAGGATTGAGGCTTCACGCACCGGGGTCAGAGGTCGTGGTCATCTGACGAGTGAATGTAAGATTCAAGGTTTTCTCCCTCTTCACCCTGTACCCTGCGGTGCTCGGGCCGCCCCCTCCCCCCCTCCCCCGGTTGTGAGTGAGGAAAAACGTGAGCAAGGGCACTTAGGTTCAGTCTCCTCGCTTTGTGTCTGACAGTGGCCAGGGACAGGGCGGGGCCAGACCCAGCGCCGTATCACAGCCAAAGGTGGCAGAAATGAAGAAAGCCTTTCTAGTAACACTTCGGGACACCTTTGAGCACAGCCGTATGAAAGGTTAGAAGGACACTTTATGTGCTCAGTCTTCCGTCAGGTCTCCGCGTCGGGGGACATCACCACACGCAGAAGTCACCCGTGCTGGTGGTTCCGCTTTGGCAGACCTGTCGGGCACCCGGGTGGTGACCCTTCAGGCACCTCTCCCTCTTCTTGCTACCCCTGTCCGCCCCTCCTCCTGAAGCTGTCTGGGCCGTCGAGAAGCCGGGCTCCCAGTGGCCAAGTGGCACTGGGTGGGAGGGGGAGGGGTGGCAGTCTGGTCTAGAAGGCACTCCCGAGTTCTTGCAGGAGGCAGCCTTTCTACGGGCACGTCCAACCTTGCTCAGGTATGAATGCCTCCCGTGTCCCACCCCGGCGTGCTCACACGGTTTCACTGGACATGTGTTCAGCTGTTACATCATTCCGTATATTCCCGGCCACGGACCTAAAGGTCCTATAGCATGGAGAGAGGGCTCGGTGACATGCGGGTGCTAAGAAGAGGCCCGGGGGGCTGTCTGGCTCACAGTGATGTCCCAGGTCTGGGCTTGGACCTTCCCGAAGGAACCTCAGGAAGTGAGCCTTCTCTGCCTTTCCTTGTCACATGGGCTGAATGGCTCCTCCCCGCCTTAAACAGTGATTGGCTAGTGGGTATACATGTGACTTAAGCTGAGCCAATCAGAATCCTCTCTGGGACTCTTTGTGCTGCACAGGAAGAGCCCCGCCCTTTAGGTGGCTACGAGCCCTGAGCGGGCAGGGCCCACAGACCCAGCCAAGAGCTGCTGGGAGAGGTTAAGACCATCCTGCAGAGAGACAGGAAAGGCAGGAGCCCAAGAGCGGACGGTCACATGACACACAGGCCAGGCTTCTCGGAGCCTGCTCAGCCCTCCCCATTACCTCCACCAGAGAGCAGTGACTTAAATGCCATCCTCCCCCCGCCTGCTCTGTTTATTGTTTATATGACATTATTATTTTTTAATGGGGATGTATCTTAGTGAGCTAGAATTACTGACGAAAAGGCAATGCTGCAGGGTCCTATTTTTTTTTTTTTTAAGTTTCCTGTGTGATCCGAAGTAGCGATGTGTGTTGGTTTCCCCGGAAACCACAGAAGGACAGCAGGTGATTGGATGTGGTGGCAGTTTCTAAAGGTGCACAGATGCCTGGCAAGAAGCTAAGAAAGATAATCTCAACACTCTTGGTATTATATTTTCAAGATGAGAGAGTCAAATAATATTAGGGAATTAATTAGGTACGGGGGGGTGTTGGTCTAGGTTGGAGCGGGAGAAATTTTGAGAACTGTTTCTTGGGATCTTGAAAACGATTTTTATAACGCGACTTGAACAGCAGCCCTGCGTGAAAGACAAAGCCTCTCATCCCTAACCAGAGACGGACAAAGGGCCATGGCTCATGCCACGAGACACTGACGGCCTAACTCACAGCGGCTCTCGTCAGGTTCTTGTGCTCCCGTGATCCCATTCACAGAATTTCCACTTCAAGCACTGTTTCTGAAAATAGTTAAAAACGTCCTGGGGACAAGAGGACGACATCGCCGTTTTCGTGGTGAAATATTAGCTTCGCAGAAGACCTCTTCCAGCAAAGATCGCATAGGGTTTCCATCTCCTTACTTCCCCGGGCTCTGGAGAGGAGGGGGGCCGGGAGGAAGGGCATTACCCTCCTCACTCCTGAGCCACATTGCCTCAAACTGTTGACTAAATCCAGGGCCAAGAACGCGTCTTACTTTCCACTCCTGACATCTCCGTGTACAATGTTTTTA